GCCCAAGATTAAACAGTTGGTAAATGGTGGAACCATGATCTGACTTCAGAATCTAGGATGAACCTGATTCAGTCAAAATAACCTCTTTCTGCTTTGCATCACTGGATAAAATCTCTAAGCTTAGTTTTTAGTTCATAGTCTCTTTCTGGAAATAGTGGGTTCCACATCTCCAAAGTCGTGTGCTATTGAGTTGTTCTTAAATTAGATTTTTTTCTTATTGTGGTAAAATACACATAGCATAAAATTTACTGTCTTAATTTTAAGTGCACATTTCAGTGGTATTAAATATACCATCGTTATACCATCATCACTACCATCCATCCCTATAACTCTTTTCATTTTGTAAAACTGAAACTGTATACCCATTAAACAGTCCTCCATTTTCCTCTCCCCCAGCCCTTAGCAACCATCATTATACTTTCCATCTTTATGATTTTGACTGCTGGTATCTCATTCAAGTTGAATCATACAGTGTATCTTTTTTTTACTGGCTTATTTCACTTAACATAACGTTTTTAATGTTGTAAAGGTTCATCCACATTGTAGTATATTGGCAAATTTTAAGACTGAATAATATTTCATTATATGTACATACCACATTTTGCTTAATCATTTATTCATCTATGGGCACATGAGTTGCTTCCATGTTTTAGCTATTGTGAGTAGTGCTGCTATGTACATGGGTGTATAAATAGCTCTTCAAGACCTTGCTTTCATTTCTTTTGTGTATATACTCAAGTGGAATTGCTACATCATGTTAATTCTATTTTAAATTTTTGGAGGAACTCCCATACTGTTTTCCACAACGGCTGTACCGTATTACACTCCCACTAGCAGTATACATGCGCTGCAGTTTTTCCACGTCCTTGTCAGCACTTGTTGACTTTGGTATCAGGGTAATGCTGGCCTTATAGAATAAGTGAGGAAGTGTTCCCTTCTCTTCAGTTTTTGGAAAAGTTTGAGAAGGAATGATATTAATTCTTCTTTAAATGTTTGATGAAATTCACCAATGAAGCCATAAGGTCCAGGGCTCTTATTTGTTGGGAGATTTTTTATTACTTATTCAATCTCCTTAGTAGTTATGAATCTATTCCAACTTTCTATTTCTTTAATTTAGTCTTGATAGATTTTGTATTTCTAGAAACTTCTCCTTTTTCATATAGGTTATCTAATTTGTTGATGTACAGTTCATACTTTTATAATGCTTATTTCTTTAGAGTCAGTAATTTCTCCATTTTCATTTCTGAATATAGTAATTTGAGCCTCATCTCTTTTTTTCTTGGTCCATCTAGCTAAAATTTTGTCAATTTTACTGATCTTTTTGGAGAACCAACTTTTGGGTTAATTGATTTTCCTCTATTATTTTTGTGTTCTCTATTTCATTTCTCTTTGCTCCAGTCTTTATTGTTTTTTTCCTTCTGCTAGGTTTAGGTTTAGTTTCTTCTTTTTTTAGTTCCTAAATTGTAATGTTAGGTTGTAGATTTGAGATGTCTTTTTTTTTTTAATGTAAATGTTAAAGTTGTGAATTTCCCCCTTAGCACTGCTTTCACTATATCTCATAAGTTCCAGTATGTTGTGTTTTTGTTTTCATTTGTCTCCATGTTCTAGTCTCCCTGTGATTTAATCTTTGATCCACTGGTGGTTTAAAATTATGTTAATTCCCACAATTTTGCAATTTTTCATTTTTCTTTTTGTTACTAATTTCTAACTTCATTGTGTTGTGGTTAGAGAAGATACTTGGTATGATAGCTGTCTTTTAAAATCTATTGAGTCTTAATGTGTGGCCTAACACATGGTCTCTTCCGGAAAATGGTGCATTCCAAGAAGAATGTGTTTTCTGTTGTTGGGTAGAGTGTTCTGTGTATGTCTGTTAGATCTAGTTTATTGTATCGTCTAAGTCTCTGTTTCCATACTTCTGTCTGGTTGTTCTGTCCATTATTGTGTGTAGGGTATTGAAGTCTCCCAACTATTATTGTAGAGCTATTTCTCTGTTTAGTTCTTAGTTTTTGCTCCATATATTTTCATAATTTGTCATTGTATGTGTAAATGTTTGTAATTGTTATATCTTCTTGCTGTATTAAACCTTTTATTAATATATAATATCCTTTGTTTCTTGTAACTTCTTTTATTTAAAATCTTATTTTTGTCTTATGCTAGTATAGCCATTTCTTCTCTCTTTTGGTTACTATTTACATGGAATATTTTTTTCAGTCCTTTTCATTTCAACCTGATTGTGTCTTTGGATTTCAGGCAGGTGTCTTGTAGACAACAAATCATTGGATTATATGTTTTTTTTTCCTTCTGCCTATGTGTCTTTTGATTGGAGCATTTAATCTATTGATGTTTAATGACTGATAAGGAAGCATTTATTTCTGTCACTGTGCTATTTGTTTTCTGTATGCATTATCACTTTATTTTGAGCCTCATTTCCTGCATTACTGTTGTCTTTAGTGTTTAGTTGATTTTTTTGTAGTGAAATGTTTAAGTTCCTTTCTTATTTTCTTATGTGTATATTCTATGGATATTTTCTTTGTGGTTTATCATGAGGATTACATTTAACATTCTTAAGTTATAATACTCTAATTTGAATTTATAGTAGCTTAACTTTAATAACAGAAAAATTCTACTCCTTTACAGCTTCATCTCCACCCCTTTTCATTGTTTTCTTTATTATTATTGAAGTACAGTCAGTTATAATGTGTCAATTTCTGGTGTACAGCACAATGTTGCAATCTCGCATATACATACATATATTGGTTTTCATAGTCCTTTCAGTTGTTGATGTCACAAAATAACATCTTTATACATTTATATCCAAAAACATGAACTAAAAATTCTTTCAAATTATTTTAAAATGTTCTTAAAATGAAAATTTTATTTTATTTAAATTCTTCTTTCTTACTTATTTTAAATTATACTCCTAAATTATGTAGGAAACAATATTTGGTGTTACAAACCAAAATTACAGCAATACTAGCTTTTACATTAATAATTTTTTAAAAATGTATTTGTCTCTTAAATACAAACAATAGAGTTACAACCATTGTTAACAATAATACTAGCTTTTGTAATTAAACATGTATTTACTTTTATACCCATATGACTGAGTTATTGTCTAGTGTTCTTTCATTTTATCTTGTAGGACTTCCTTGAGTATTAATTGCAGGCCAGGTCTAGTGGTCATGAACTCCCTCAGCTTTAGTTTGTCTGGGAATGTCTTAATTTCTCCCTCACTTTTGGAGGACAGTTTTGTTGGATATAGATTCTTGGTTGACGGAGTTTATCTTTTAGTACTTTGAACTTACCTGCCCCTTGTCTTTTGGCCTCCAAATGAGAATTCTGCTGATAGTCCTATTGAGGGTCACCTGTATGAGCTGAATCACTTCTTGTTTTCAAGATTCTCTCTTTGGCTTTTGAAAGTTTGATTATAATGTGTCTTGGCATGGATCTCTTTGAGTTCATCATTTTTTGGAACTTCTTGGTTGTTTATGTCTTTCATCAAATTTGGGAAGTTTTCAACTGTTACTTTTTCACATATTCTCTCTGCCCTTTTCTCTCTCTCTTCTCCTTCTAGGGCTCCCATGATATGTATGTTGGTCTGTTTATGGTAGTGTCCCATAGGCTCTGTTTATGTTTCTTCAGTCTTTCTGTTCCTCAGACTTGATACTTTTTGTTATCTTATCTTCAAGTTTGCTAACTCTTTCCTCCTACTCAAGTCTGCCTTTGAATCCCTGTAATGAATTTTAATTTTAGTTATTGTACTTTTCAGTTCCAGAACCTCTTTATTGTTCCTTTTTAGGTTTTCTACTTCCTTATTGGTAATTCCATTCTGTTCACACAAATTACTTTTACCATGTGTTCCTTTAATTCTTTGAGCATCTTTAAGACAGTTGTTTTAGAGTCTTTGTCTACTATAAACACCATTACTACTTCTTCAGATATAATTTCTGTTGATTTATTTTTTCCTTGAATAGGCCATACTTTCCTGCTTCATTGTATGCCTTGTGATTTTTTGTTGTTGTTGAACATAAGACGTTTGAATCTAATAATGTGGTAACTCTGAAAATCAGATTCTCCCTCTTCCTTGAGGTTTGTTTTTTTAATTGTTTCTGCCCTTTTTGATTGATATAGGCTGTCTCTGTGCTGACAGTCAACCTGAGGTGTAAACTTAACAGTCTTCTCAGGTCTTCTCTGAGCCTTTTCCTGGGCATACATGGTCACTTTTTCATTTTTCTTCTATATGCATTTGGTTTTTTATTGTCTCAGTCTTTAGTGTTTTGCTCCCAAAAGGGGAAAAAATGAAAATGAAGGTATAAAGGGCACCAGCCATTTAAATCCTTGGGAAGTCACTTAAGATGAGGAGGTGGGAGGCTTGCAACAATTGGGGGAGGTATAGCAACAATGGCTGCCCACCTCTTTGCACCTCTGCGATCAGAAACAGTAGTCAGCAATCAAAGGAGAGAGGCTTGATATTTGGCGGACACAGTCTTTCCTGCCTACTGTGGCTCCTGCAGACTCTGCACAGGCTGCTTCAGGAACACATGCACAGCTGCTAGCTACATGGCTAGGGGTGTAGGATGGGCAGCTGCTACTGTACAAAGAGCTAAAATTGACCAAAATTAACTGTAATTTACCATTTAAGTTGTCTTCTGGAAGTTGTAAGCCTTTAGCAGATTCCAGAGTTCCAAGATAGTTATCAGACAGATTCTTGCCGATGCAGTTGTTGACTCGGTGGGGAAGCAGATTCCTCATGTTTCTATTCCACCATCTTCCCACAGTTTTCCAGTTTGATATTAAAGGAGTTCCTTCACTGATATAAAATAATTAGCTGAGGTAACTTATGTGACACTTAGTATAAAAATGCAAAGTTACTTATTTTTTCAATAATGATTTCTACAGTCATTTTATATATATAGCATTCAATAAGCTGTAATTACTAATGATTGGGTTTAGGGGGGTTGTTTTTATGTGTGTGTGGTTTTTGTTTTGTTTTGTTTTAGTCTCAGCAAGCTGAACAATGGCAGTTGAGTGGATTTTGAAAAATGTCTGAAGTTTAGTGGGTGGCATCTACCTGCTGCCTTCTCCCCATCCTTTACAAAAGAATAAGTGGGATGTTTGAGAAGAGAGCTGTATTAAAAGAAGAGTGTTACAAATGGCTTCAGAATCTTTGAATGCAAAACAAGCTAGGAATCGCCTCACAAAGGGAAAAAGGCAGCAGCACCAGCAAATAAAGAACAGATCTTCAGTCAGTGATGGTGATGGAGAAGATTCCTTTATCTTTGAAGCAAATGAAGCTTGGAAAGATTTTCATGGTTCTCTTCTTCAGTTTTATGAAAATGGAGACCTTTGTGATGTCACACTGAAGGTGAGATTGTCTTCTTTTTTTTCTTTTCTCATCCTCTTCAGTGTATTATGAAAAATAAAGGTTTCTGTAACCAGGCAAATTTTTGGTGCTGTACTACTTACAGCCAGGATGATTTTAGTTTCAATCCTTCTTTAAAGGAGAAGGGACAAGGGAGGGTAAGTAAAGGGAGCTTAACATAAGAAAAAATTATTATACTAATTATATGTTAATATTCACTGTTTCTTAGTTTAACTTCTGAAAATTCTTAGCCCTAAAACAAGTAGCTATTATTAGTGAAATGAGTAAATTGCTGTTGGTCAGAAAAGCTTTCAACTTATGAATTTAAAAATCTTAATGTATTCATTTACACTTGATGTAGGTTAGGAGTCAGAATTCTTGGTTTATGTAGCTGCACTAGTGTTTTATTGAATGTTTCTATTCTGGTACAGGCATATCTCGTTTTATTGCATTTTGCTTTATTGCATTTTGCTTTATTGCATTTAACATATATTGCTTTTTTTATAAACAAATTGAAGGTTTGTCAAAGCAACCCTGAGTTGTCAAATGATGGTTAGCACTACTTAGCAATAAAGTATTTTTTAATTAAGGTATGTACACTGATTTTTAGACATAATGCTGTTGCACACTTTTAGGATAGTCTAAACATAAATTTCATATGCATTGGGAAACCAAAAAACTTGTGTGACCTGCTTTATTTCAATATTTGCTTTATTGCAGTGGTCTGGAATTGAACATGCAGTATCTCCAAGATAAGCCTGTAATTTCACCTCTATTTCAATACTGTTGTCTGTTAAGTGAGATTGTTTATCTATACCCGATAGTGAAGTAGAGTCTATTTAGACTTGGATGAATAAGTCTTTGGTAGAGTTTGTCTGAGTCTATAGGATCATGTTGCTCTGCTACAAAAGACGATTTTAATAAAATTAGAAAATTGATAAAGCAGTGTGGAAGAACATGTTTTCTAATTGTTTCTCATTTCTCATTTAAAATACTTTATTATTATTCATATCTTGCAGTGTAATAATTAAATTCTTTTGGTGATTTATGTGCATCCATGCAGTATTTTCCACATAAGATTTACCACTTTGCGATCTCTCAGATTTTACTTTCTGCTTCTTATTAGTCAAATTCTTAAGAGGTCAGAATTGTGGGGATTGAGGCCATCCTCGGAGAGTCAGATCAGGAGGCCCTCAGTAAAAGTCCATAAACTGAAAACATAAACGCTTGAGTTTCAAGCCCAGAATGTTCAGGAGTATAGTGTTACACTGTAAATAAGTGACTCCTGTTCTTTTTACTTAAACTCTTAGTGTCCTTATATGTTTCTAGGTCCTAAAATATTGAGAAGGAAGCCATTAAATAATTTTACTAGCTTTGTGTGAAATTTAGCTATGTGTGTATTTTAAGGAAGGAACACCTAAACTCTTTGATCTGTGTAGCATATTATGTTTAACGCCATTGTTCTCATTTTCAACTCTAGTGTGAAATTCAGTGACCCACACTGGCCTTGACAAAAATAAAATGTAAAATAGATTATTTGTATAATAGATTATCAGTTCATTATATTAATATGTGTTGGAAAATAATTAAGTAGAATGTTATTATATAAGTTTTATAATTGGACTTTAGGATGATTTTTACTAGCTGCTACATATAAACTTAAGTGAAAAAATAAGGATACAGTCATTTTAGGGCAAATGATAACTAATTTCATAACTTTTCTTTATTGGTAACTTCAGCAATAGGTTGAAATGAAAACTTAAGAAGAATCTATGCTGGAAACCCAAAAATACTGTGTTTGAAGCAGAGGTCTTTGGTAATGAGAAGCTTCACTAATTTAAAGGAGCTATCATTTTTATTTTTTCAACTAAAATTAATTAGGTTTTTGTGATGAATAAGTGAATTGATAACATGTAAAGTCCTTAAAACAGTGCTTAGTGCATAAAAAAAATAAATATCAGCTGCTAGGTTCATTACATGCACTATTATTGTTTTTCCAAAGAGTGTCAGATAATTCTGCTATGGTATATTCTGTTCTTATTTATTAGAAAGAATTACAACTTAATCTTTTAGCAAGTCTGCTCTTGGATTCATTTAATTGTAATTCAGCATTTCTTAAACTTTTGTAATTTAACTATCACAGAACAACTAAACCAAATAGGATTATGGATAGTTTACAATGCTCTGTTTGACATAAACTTGACTTTTTACATTCATATAACCTTAAGGGTTATGCCTTGACATATTCATCTCCTTTTTGCTATTTGTTTCTGTTGATCATTATTGCTTTTAGAACAAACATTTTAGAAAGACAATTATCAAGACTTGTTTTGTTGTTCATATGTAAGGCCATTAGTGCATTTTAAAATTCCAAAGTGAGCACCTATATTAGAAACAACAAATAAATTCGTTTAACAGATATTTACTAAGATCTTACCCTACTACATGGAGAGTATAAGTAAATTTGAATAATATGCTGTCCTTGCCGTAAAGGAATTTGAAGGTTAGCCAGAGATAGGCACATTCACAGCTAACTATAATACAACTTAGTGATTGTCATTTTGTGGTATTTTTATGGAAGCATGGGAGAAGATCTATTATGTCTGAGAGGTGATTGGAAAGGCTTCACTTAGGAGACTATATTATCTTGAGGTCATTCCAGGGAGAGGGAAAACTTGTTTATACTTTATTACATTTATTAGAGAAATATTTTAAAATAGTATATCTAGTGGCAGGTCTAAAATTACATCTGAGGGAAGCTTCGTAAGGGCAACAGTTTGGGGACAGGGCAGAGGGAAGTTGTCTTGAAGGGGTATTGCATAGCACTCATAATGCTTAGATTACATGTCACAGATCGACAAGAGTGGCATTTACAAAGATGCTTTTACCTATACTTTATGTTGTTTGAGGAAGTGTTGTTGTTCTTTTTAAAGATAACAGTTAATTTTACTTGACGAGTTTAATAGGGATTATTAGAGGAGGACAACCCCCTAACATCATCTCTTGATGCCACCATTGAATATGTTTCATTCATAGTATTTGGCTTCTTTTTTTTTTTTTTTTTTTGATATGTATGCTTCTGTGATTTTTTTTAGGCAAGTATTTATAGGATTCTGATAAACATGTTGAAGTCTGTAAGTGTTATAATTATTTGCTGTCAAAACTTTCAGCTGACCAAGTAAGAATAAGAGCTCTGAAAAATTGCAGGGAAATAAAATATGTAAACTACATTAGAGTAGTATAATTCCCAGAGGTAGAAATGATAAAATTATTATCCTTATAAATGTAACAGTTAATTCCTGACTAGAAAACAGACATAATTTAATAGAAGCGAAAGTGATTTTATAATTAACATTTAAATATTCTGTGTTAAGAAGTCTAATAAAATTATGATCACTTTTACTTTTATCCATTCAACTAGTAAATCAGTATTTTGATTTTTTTTCATGTTGCTCAGAAAAGGAGGTATTGAAGTATTTATATTCATAGATCCTTTAACCCCCAAAATGCTACCTAAAAATTGTTTCCATTGTGAAAGTTTTTAAAATAAATGTGGTAAGATTGTAGAACAGTGAATGTGGCTAGACATTTCAATATGCTAATTCACTGTAAGCTAAGACATTATCTTGAGCCTTATACGTTTAACCCCTTCTTAACCTTGGCAGTTAAACATGTTTTTTGGCTACTCAAACTGATTAAAATTTTTGGCTTAATGAAAAGAGTAGCTAATTGAGCTAAAAGGGCAAAATTACAAGGGATTAAACTGAAAAATTAGAATATAGCTTATATACATACATAAAAGGAGATGGGTATATAGGCTTTTTTCCCTTCAGTCTTTGTTTCTGTACTGCTATGTGTCTTCTGCACTTTTATTTCTATGTAGTTCTTAAACATTTAGCTTGAATTACTGTTGTGGCATAATCACAAACATTTCAAGCTAATATACTTTAGTTTTTGTTTTAATTATAAAAAAATTTTTGGTATGTTATAGTTAAAAACATACTTAACTATTAATACTTAGAAATGAAACAAATCTAAGAACAACTAGTTCACAAAAGAATAGTTCACAGAATAGCCAAATTTTTAAAAAGCACTAAATATGGCAAAGAAGAAAAAAAAAATCGTTGAAAAATTCTTCCCTTATCAACGTATTGAACATTTAACACATTTATTGCTTTTGAAATTTTGGTGAAGGAAGTATTTTCAAACACTGCTGGTGGATATGTAAATTGGTTCATTGTTTTTCACAGATGGTTTGGCAGTATATATGAAGAGCTATAAAAAGCTTACATTTATTGATTCATTAATTCCGCTTTTCAGATTTTACCTTAAGGAAGTATTCTGAAATGCTGAAGAAACCTCTGCTCTAAAATCCTGTTTGTGTTTAAAATATGGGAAAGTTGTCCAAATGGCTGATATCTCAGTAGTTAAATGAGTTGTGTTACGTCCACTGTATAGGATAATATACGGCCAATAAGCATGAAGGTTTCAGCGTTTTCAGAAACTTAGGAAAAGATGACAAAGTTCAGGACAATCTCAGTTATGTTTCAAAATGCATGGGAAAAAGTTAAAATAATATCAACAGGTTGACATATTTGTTGAATTGTGAGTAAATTTTTTCCCTTATATTTTTCTGTGCTTTCTTGATTTTTACACATTGAATATGTGTTTTAGTTAGAGGAGGAAGAAAACTTGAAAAGTAAGTGACCTTTAATATAAGATAATAGATAGGTTCATTTTGTAAGTCAGAACTGATAGTTAATAGAATTTTTATTCTTTGTTTAATTTTTTATGTCATTTTTAGTTCATTTTTAAAAATCTCATAATTCAGCAGATCATTTATTGTTTTTAGACAGAGTTCTACTTAGTTTGTCATGTAGTTTTTCTGGTTGGACCTAAATACTGAATTCAGCAATAAAAATTAAGGGTGCTTGACTTCCCCTAGTATCCCTTCCCACCAGACCTCCACGTTGAAAGTGAGATGCTTTATCAAACTCAAAGCCTTTGTTTCATTATATTTTGATCCATGTTGGCTGATCTGTGGGAAATTACTCAAGGTTTTGATTAGATGTTTGTATTTCAAGCTTTTATTAAATAAGGGATCATTATATTAGTTGATATTCTACATATTTAACTGCTTGAGTTTTAGCTTGACTTTTTTTCCTCTGAGCATCTTGAATTATTCTTATGTTCACTGATCTAATAAAAATGTAAACTAAAAAATTCATTAGTTATCAAGGACATACACTGTAGTATTTATCTCTATAATTTTAAATTATATAATCTAGCATCTAATATTTTATAGTTTGTGTATTTTTCACCCAGTTTTAAGCATCTAGTTTTTAGACTTTTATTTTTTCATTTTAAAATTTCTGATGAGATGCTTTTGATAATCGGTAATTATTTTTATGTACTAGAGAAGAAAAATTTGGGAGTAAACACTTAAGAGTATAATGACACTCTATAGTGTTAAAGGAGAATTAATGAATGCATAAAAGTTAATTTTTTTTAATGTTCCTGTTTCATACATATGGCTTAAAGATCTTTTTAAAGTTAAGGTGGGTATTCTCAAAGGGTACATAGGGGTGTGTTTGAATGTGTATTAAATATCTATTTTACATAATTTGAATCAAACTAGAGTTAAAGAGAAACAGCCTTATTATAAACAATATGAAAATAGCTTGCAGGCTATTGATTTGTACAGCTTAGATGAGAAGGCAGTATTAAAATGATTATTTGGAAATTGTAAAACCTTATTTTATAATACTATTATATAATAGTTGTTTCAGCAGTTTTATGTCATGTGAGATTTACAGATATGTACATAGAAATTAAATATCAGTGGTGTCCAGTGCAGATAATCCAAAAAAGAATACTTTTAGACTATTTTTAAATGTTTAATACCAGATTTCAGATCCCATTTTAAGGTTGAAGTAAATTTGAGAACATTTCAAGCTTTTTGCTGCAGTCTAGGTTACAACTTGAGTCTCAGTGGAATCTAAATCCTGCCTTGTGAATTCTTTTAAAAAACTAAATATCATATAACTGACAGAAACAACCTTCCTGTACTTACTGAAACAAGTGATATTCATTAATGAAAAAAGTTGGGTAAAGGGAATTTATAAGCAAAACCATTTACACATTGTAACATTCCTCAGGCTTTTTTTATGTTTAGAGTTCTTATTTTAAAATTAGTTCCCAAATAATGAGACACAACTATCAGTGTATTATATAATCAAAAATGCTACATGAAAACAGGAAAATTGCTAAAACATAGGTAATCCTGTTACTTGTACTCATTGATTATTTAACATAAAGTGCTGGGAAAACCAGATACCTTTTTTTTTTTTTTACATAGTAGTTATCTGTCATCTCAGTACTAGAAACTTCCAGATGGAAATAAAGATTTAAGTGAAAAACATAAAACCATAAAAGTACTAGAAAACGTACTTGAAGTAAATATTTATGGAATATTAGAGTGACTCCCATTTCAAACATAGCACCTAAGACAGAAATCATAAAGAAAAAGATTCATTTTTTAAAAATTCATAGGGAGTGAATAAAATTCAGAAGCACACTTACAAAAGAGAAAAGTGTGAAATATATACGGCAAATGACTTAATATTCTAAACATCTGAGGAGTTCTTACAAATAAAAAGTCATAGAAAAAGAGTTCACCGAAGAAGTACAAATAGCCCAAGGGGGGGGGGGAGGTTTATAGCTCAGTGGTAGAGTGCATGCTTAGCATGCACAAGGCCCTGAGTTCAATCCCTAGGGCCTCCATTAAAAATAAATTAAATAAATAAACCCTAATGACTTCTCCAAAAAAACAAACAAACAAAAAAAAGCCCAAAATTTATGAATGATGCAGTCATATTAGTGAAAGAAATATAATCTAAAACAATGAGATATTTCGTTCATCAAATTGGCAAATACTTCTTAACAAATTAACACTCAGAATATGGCACAAATATTGTAAGTAGAACAGAAATGGACAATTTAGCAGTATGTAGGTACAAATTGTACCTATCCTTTGAAGCAGCATTTCTATTTTTAGGAATTTATCTGTGGGAAATAATAGAGAATGTAAATAGGTATTCAGTTACAACAAAGTTTACTACTTTGTCATTTATAATAGCAAACTATTGGAAACAATCTAATTTTCCACAACTAAAGGGGTGAGTTTCAGGTTTTTATTATGGTTTTATAAAATATGTCATTTCAAAATAATTTAGATAGGAAATGAACAAACCTCAGTTAAGTTCATAGTAGATACTACTAAATTTCTAAACATTTTTTACTCTATTTGTTTTTTTTCACTGATAAATTGTGGATAATAAAAGTACCTACTCATGGGGGTGTTGGGACAATTAAGTGAGTTAATACATGAAAACACTTAGAATAGTCCCTGACATGATGACTATAGTTACCAATACTGTATGGTTTATTTGAAAGTTGCTAATAGTGTAGGTCTTAAAAGTTCTCATCAGAAAGAAAAGAAAAATTGTGATTATGTGAGGTGATAATTTACTAAAACTCATTGTGGTGATTGTCTCACAGTATATACATATATCAAATCATTAGGTTGCATAACTTTTTTGGTTTTTGTTTTTTAGGTTTTTTTGGGGGTGGGGTGGAGGTAATTAGGTCTGTTTATTTAATTATTTTTTAAATGGAGGTACTGGGGATTGAACCCAGTACCTTGTGCATGCTGAGCAGCATGCACTCTACCATTTGAGCTATACCCTTCCCCTGTGTTGCATATCTTAAATTTATACAATGTTGTATGTCAATAAAACTTCAAAAAGTTAAAAAAAAAAAACCAACTCAACAGATCAAAAAAAAATATAGTGCCTGATACACAGTTAAGTGCTAGGTGATGTTTGCTGCTGTTCTCATTAATTCACAGAATGCTTCTGAAATATTAGATAATATAGAAAAATCATAGTTCATGGTATAGACATTATAGATAACACGTGTAAAAGTTAACTGTCTAATTTGGAAGAAGAAAATTGCCTGATTTTAAGAAACTGTCCTACATTGAATGTAAGTGACCAAAGCATTACATTGTTAAAACAAATACACTAAATTTGTCTGGAATTTTTGTCCCTGCTACAGCACATGCTCGATGCTGATCTAAAACTAATTTTGGTATTAAACTGAGTCTTTTTGTTTGTTTTGAACAGGTTGGCTCAAAGCTAATCTCTTGTCACAAACTGGTATTGGCTTGTGTTATTCCCTACTTCAGAGCCATGTTTCTCTCTGAAATGGCTGAAGCCAAGCAAACACTGATTGAGATCAGAGATTTTGATGGTGATGCAATAGAAGACTTGGTAAAGTTTGTCTATTCTTCACGGCTCACGTTGACTGTTGACAACGTCCAGCCTCTGTTATATGCAGCCTGTATTCTACAGGTTGAACTGGTGGCTAGAGCTTGTTGTGAATACATGAAGTTACATTTTCATCCCTCCAACTGTCTGGCAGTAAGAGCCTTTGCAGAAAGTCACAATCGAATAGACTTAATGGACATGGCAGATCAGTATGCTTGTGAGCATTTTACTGAAGTGGTGGAGTGTGAAGACTTTGTAAGTGTGTCACCCCAGCATCTCCATAAACTTTTGTCCTCCAGTGATCTAAATATTGAGAATGAAAAGCAGGTCTATAGTGCAGCCATCAAGTGGCTTCTTGCCAATCCCCAGCATCATTCCAAATGGTTGGATGAAACACTTGCACAGGTAGGGACTGAAATAAGATTGTGTATAGATATGAAGTGATATGGAAGCAAATCAGCATGTTCCATTTAGCATAAGAAGTGTAGATTATCCATTGAGGTAATACAGTGTAAAACAGCTTTGATCTTACTTGCCTCCTTACTCACTATACCATTTAAGGATAAGTCTGAATGTGTTACATTTGAATTAGAAATACCATTATCTGCTTTTTAATCTGAATATTTAAAATATCCTTTGAGTTAGTAGTAGTAATGAATGTTTTATTTATGCTAAAATGTTCTGAGGAAACACTGCTACATTAGTTTATAGCTATTTTATAATAAAGTTTCTAAATTTACTGGATTACCTTGCTAATGAAAGTACATTTATTCCTAATTATTGGATTTATTCTGGAAGGAACTTTAAGACATCATTTTATGTTTTGTTTCCTCACTATAGTTTTACTTTTTCAACATCAGAATTATATACGATGTCTCTTTTTAAATTATTTATTTGTTAATTTATTTTTACTGTCAACAGACATTTTTAACAGGGAGATAACAAATAGGCCTTAGAATTACTTTTGAAAATAAGTTTGTCAACCAAAACAAAGTTTTATTTCTGTTTTATCTTGCACCTGTATCTTACTCATGTGTATGTGTGTGCACCTTTAACTCAATCACATAATGTGGTTTGATCATCCCTTTAATCCACTAGAAAATCAGTGCATCTTTAAGAGAAGAATGATGAGTGCCTCTACTGAAAGAGGGTGCATCCCTGAGTATAACCTTCCAGGTCACAGAAAACATCACCTATTTGTTTCAGATATGAATTCTTACACATACATGTGTGAAAAATAAATCACATTTCCATACATTCAGTCTTAGCTTTAAAAGGCCAGAGAACAAAGCACCACAATTTTGTTTTGATTATGCCTATTCTGTAGCAGCAAGGCGCCTTGCGATTATGACAGTACCATTTTTGGAAGTGCATAAGTAACTTGACTGAGGACAATTGAATGATTTTATCCAGTCTACTTAAATCTGTATTTAAAAGGGAAGATATATTTAATATGTAATCTCATTTCATTAGTGCAGACCAATACTGGAAATTGCTTTAGAACTTGGCACTTTGAACTACATTCACATGTTAGAAAGGATTTATGAAGTAAATGAGTTTTAAAGAGAGAACATGCTGCAGTGAAAGTAGAGAATGAGCTATCCAATTGCAAGTTAAGTTTTATATCTGCAACTATTCACGATCTTAGGTTCGTTTGCCGCTGTTGCCAGTTGACTTTCTTATGGGTGTTGTGGCAAAAGAACAGATTGTCAAGCAAAATCTAAAATGTAGAGATTTATTGGATGAAGCAAGAAATTATCACCTTCACTTGAGTAGCAGAGCAGTACCTGACTTTGAATACTCCATTCGGACTACTCCAAGGAAGCATACTGCTGGTAATTAAATTACTTATTTTATCAACTCTGCTGAAAAGAGTTTTGTTGTATTTCAGGGTTGGCTATATATGCCCAAACCTAATTGTAAGATGGTTAGTATCTGATTGTCTTAAATTAATGACTGGCAGATAAGGTTACATATGAATTCTTGACTGTACGTGATTCAGGTAGTTGTAGCAATAAGCCAGTTTTTTAAAACGCTGTAGTATGACCTATGCATTCTGAAGAGCTCGCTGAAGTATCTTGTCTATTGGTGTCTTTTTGATTCTCCCAGGCAGAATTAGTTCCTCTGTCACTTGTGTTTTTAGAGCACTTATTTTGCACTTATTTTACTATGTTGCATTGAAATTTATTTGACATATTTTGAACCCTTCAAAGACAGAGAAGTATTTTATTAGAGTTGCATCCCTAGTGCTAAGGATGCAGCTTGATGTGTATTATGTATTTAAGTATTTGTTTTTGCATTTCATCAAATCAAAAGACACTAAATACACCTAACGTTACTATAATAGACCATATTAGACTCTTAGAATCTAAAGCTCTTTTATTTGAGGAGGCATGCGTTTTTTTGCCTGTACTTCCCACAATTTTCAGACTTCGTATTTTCTCGAGAAAGTAGTTTATGTTCACTTATGTTCTTCTTTAGAAATATAAAGGATATATTTGTGAGATAAGGGAAAATAAATGAGGTTTATGAATTCAAGGATCAGTACTCGGAACAGAGACCTTGTACATTTGCTACTACGTAATACAATTATCAAATAAGAGATCCATGGACTAGCCTAAAACCAACAATAAAAGGCAGTACTCTATTATGAATAGTGGGATCTTTACCTAGGTAGTATAAAGAAAGTTTGAATGTCGTAGATCTGCCTATGAAGAAGTAATTCTTCAGAATAATTAGTTTAACATGAAAAGGACTGCTTATTTATTTTCCTTTTTTATAGGTTAATTTAACATTAATTTTGTTTGCAGTTAAGATTTTTTTCTTTTCTTTTGAATTCTGTTTTAGGAAGTCAAGGTATTCTTCAGATTCAGATTTGAATTCAAACGACATCTTGGCAGCTTAGATGATATGCCAAACATTCTAGACCCTCGTATACATGATCTCTTACGTGACTGCAAGAACTTTAGGAAGTAGATTTAGTGAAGGATTTGATCCTCATGAGCACGGGGGTATTATTCCATTTTACGGATGAGGAAACTGAGAATTAGAGCAGGAAAGGCCCACAACATAGCAGAGAAAGGATTTGCATCCTAATATTTTTACTTCATTTTAGTTTGTCCTTTCATGTCGTGTTCCTAGGTGACCTATATAGCTGAAATATTAGTGTCCACTTAAATAAAATCTAATCATTGATTGGGCTTACATTCTGGGATTGTAACTCCAGACTGTGCCACTAAACATTTGTAATTTGGGGCAGATTTCTTAATCTCTGAAGGCCTCAGTTTATTTATAAGTAATTTGGACTGGGATAATCTTTAAAGTCTCTTCCAACTTTAAATTTCCCTGATTTAAAATATTTAATTAGTTGGGAAACTGCACAAGTAGCTCTGGTTATTCATTTATGCAGTCATTCCGCAGACATATAATTGCTTTCCATGGGGCAGGTTCTGGGTTAGGCATTAGAAATGAAATGCAAACACAAATGGAGTATAGCCAGGCCTGTATTGAGAGAGAGAACTTTTAGTCTGATCTAGGGAAATAAACGTATGAATAAGTAAATGCAATAAAGTATTACTAGTACTTTGATGTAATCACAAGGTATGGTGGGAGACAAAAAGAAAAGAGTGGTTATTTTTACTTTGGAAGGAACAAAAAAGGTTTTATGGAGAAGGTAACCCCCAGTCTTAGTTTTGAATAATAGGTATTCTTCTGGGTGCCACTAAGAGAAGGACATTCAGTTCATTTTACATTTATTGAATGCTTAGTACCTGCTAGACATTGTGCTAGTCTTTATTAGTGCATAAACCCTTAACACACCATCTTAATCTAGTTTAGATTCTGGTGACAGATAATCATCATTTCAGTACTGTATGTTAAATGAATAATAGTTACCAAAAGTTGGCTATCGGAACACCGAGGATGACCACAGCAGGAGTATGAACATTAAGAGAATGAGACGCAGAAGATCAAGTTAGACACTGCCAGGCCATTATGCTGTTTTAAGGCTCTGTCTTGCAGAGCAGTGGTTCTCACTGTGTGAAGCAAGGGTGGCCCCCTGACCAGCAACATCAGCATTCACTTGGGAACTTTTTAGAAATACAAAATTTTGGACCTACCCCAGACCTAATGAATCAGAAACTCTTGGGGTAAAGGGGTCAGCCTAACAATCTGTGTTTTACGCTCTCCAAGTGATTCTGTACCACACTGAAGTTTTGATCTTTTTTTAAAAATTGTAATAAAATACATACAATATAAAAATTGCCACTTTAACTATTTTTAAAATGTATAATTTAGTGGCATATGATAAAATTTTTAAGAACTGCTGATGTAGGTAATGAAAAGCTGTTGAGAGAGTCTTTAATTAGATTATTTGGTTGATAGCCCGAAAGCAGAAAGAGTACTGAGTACTAAGTGACAAGAGAAAACAAGATTCTGCAGTAATAGCTGATGAGGGCCTGCACTAATGCAGTGGCAGTGGGAATATTGAGGGAGAGGAAGGAAGAGGTTGTTTAGGTAGGTGAGGAAGAAAAATGCTTTTGAACATTTTGGTTTGAGGTGCCTATGGGACACCAAGTGGAAATGTGGCTTAGAAATGGATGTTGAAAGGCATTATGATACAGATGGAATTTTAAGTGAAGTATTGAATTTTTCCTGTGTGAGCGTGGAGTATCTGAGAAATAGGCTAAAAATGAAACATAGAAAACATAGGAAAGAGAGAAATGACTGGAAACGAAACGAGACCTTGATATTATGGAAATCAAGAGTGATAAGGAGTTTCAAAAAAAAGGGTGATCAACATATCAAATATTTTAATTGTGTCCCATCAGAAATTAACTTTATGAGCTTTTTAGCTTTTGTAATGGCCTGAGCAAGAGCAATTTTACAGAGTGGGTGAGAGTTTTAACCACTTCTTAGTGGGATGTTAGCAAGCAGAGATACTGATGTATCCTATTTGAGAAATTCAAAGGAGGGAAAAAGAAAAATTTAGATTTTTAGTACTATAATGACATTAAATGCTATCCAAATAACTCATTTTTTTGGCCATGAATCAAAATTTTGACTTTCTAAATTTTTTTCTGTACTTACTTAAAAAAAAATAACTGTGATTTTTAACCTCTATTTTGTGTCTTTACCTTTAGGTGTGCTGTTTTGTGTAGGTGGTCGAGGTGGATCAGGTGACCCCTTTCGCAGTATTGAATGCTATTCTATCAACAAAAACAGTTGGTTCTTTGGACCAGAAATGAATAGTCGAAGGCGACATGTGGGTGTAATTTCAGTGGAAGGTGGGTCACTATTGTTTTAAATCACATCTCATGATCAAAATGCTCTTTTAAAATATTTGCACTTAGAGAATTTGTTTCTATAAGAAAATTCCTACATTATAAAATGTTTCCATATATCAATAAATTATTTGGGTGGGGAATATTTACTGTGTGCCCATAGATGCTCAGTGTATGATCTGCTGCATATAGACGTTAATGGGAGATGAGTATTAGGGAAAAAGCAGTTAAAATAAACTATTCTGAGTTATATTTGCAAAAGACAAACTAAAGAAAAATATTATTGAATTCAAATAATATATATCAGCTTTTTTTCCTGTGCCCATCTAATTATTATTATTGAAATTAGATTTTTTTTTAACTGGTTACTGGAAGTGAATTAATTGCAGAGCCATGGATAAATTGTTAGGAGACTTTAAAAAGTCACTTTTCTTCTGATTATGAGTTTATAAATGCTTTGGGGGGGAAATATGATAACATGTTTTAATAAAAGATAAAAATCATCTGTAATCCAAACACCTAGAAATAGTTAACATTTTGGTATGGAATATTTCCAATTTTTATTTCATTTAGAATAAAAGTTTGATTTATTGTATTAAGAGTTTTATATTTTTATATAGCATAAGAGCATTTTTTGATTTTATTAAACATTCTTTGAAAGGATGATGAGTGATTTCATTTACTAAGTAATAAAAAGTTGGGACATCTAAGGGTGGGATAATATTTGAACATTTAAATAACTTGTAAAACAGCATGTCTCAGGTATTAGTAGAAACTCACATTTTCTTTTGACTACGAAAGTGACGACATAATGTTGAGCAGAAGAATATGTGTTAAATTAATTTATCATACTATTTTAATTATATATTGATATATATAAACACCATTATCAATTTATTTATTTGTAATCAAGTGAATACTTCTCTTTTTGGCAGGTAAAGTGTATGCAGTGGGTGGACATGATGGAAATGAACATTTAGGTAGTATGGAGATGTTTGATCCTCTCACTAATAAATGGATGATGAAGGCATCAATGAACACAAAGAGGTAGATCAGCATGGAAATTTATTTTGATTTGTTGGTGGAAAATAAAGCTTCCTGTAATTGAAAGGGCTAATTTTTTACTTTTTAGAAACCGTTAAAGCATCCAATGTGATACTTTTTATAACATTTAAATTTTTCCTGAAAATTAAGAATAGAATCATGTCTTTGAGTATGATGATTGTCATAGTTTTCACTTACACCTCAGTGATTATTTTTTAACTTTAACTTTGAAATAATTTTAGGTTTTCAGAGAAGTTTTAAAAATAGTTGAGTTCCTATGTGCTTATGGTTCTCAACTGAAGATAATTTTGCCCCCTCTGGAACACTTGGCAATGTCTGGAGACATTTTTTGCTTGTCACAACTTGAGGGCCAACAGGTTGGGGGAATTGCTGTTGGCTTCTAGTTGGGCGAGGCCAAGGGTGCAGCTAAAGATCCTATAATACACAAGAAAGCCCCCTACAGCAAAGAATTACCCGGCCCCAAAAATTAATAGTGCCAAGACAGAAATCCTACTGTATACTCTTCACCCAGCTCCCGTAATACGAACATCTTACACCATCTTAGCATGATTATTGAAACTAGGAAATTTGAAACTAGGAAATAACATCAATGTAATGCTGTTAATTAATCTGTAGACCTTATTCAACTTTTGCCAATTTTTCTGCACATTCTTAGGCTTCTAATTGGTCTTTCTTTCCTAACTGTATTGGCTCATAATCTAATATAGTGTGAATGGTAGCAGAGGTGGTAGATGTTTTTGTCTTGTCCTTGATCTTAATAGAAATGTCTCTAGTGTTTCCCTATTAGGTAAGATACTAGCCTTAGGGTTAAGGCATATGTATTTTAGCATGTTAAGAAAATATCTTTCAATTTCTATTCACTATTTTTTAATCATTATGAGTAGTTAATATTTAAAATATTCATCCATAATAAATTGACATATATATTGATAAGTAGATCAATCTCTTTAGAGGAGAAAGATTTTTAGTAACATGACTTAGGAAATGCTGACTAGCTTTGAATACCAAATTTTCAGATGTCTTAAGATAGAAGAATAGCTAATATCATATGACTAAATCAGGATTCAATAGCATAGTACATCAAACATATTCTAGATCTACAGGCAAAACCTAAAAATATTTAAATTAGAGTTACAGGTTAAAACCTGCTTTAGATATTAAAAAAAAATTGCACCACTACAACATGGTGAGAAGTCAAATTTGTGATTATGTTTCATATGGAAAAAATACCTGAACCAACATGAAGCACAGTTCTTAGAAAAGGAGGGAAATGAACATAATACAGTTGCCTGCATTAAGAGAAGTAAAGCCTTTGGACCAAGGGAGATTGTAGTTGTCCTGTTCTTTATGCTGATCCTGTCTGTATCTGGAGCTGTGGTCTCATGCTGGGATATGCAACACCAATTGGAATATGGGAATAAAAAATTAGACTCTCAATATATTTTTTTATTTCATCCTTAAATTTATTTTGTGTGGGCGTTTTATAATGAACATAACCTGTTAGTACAGTAATAAATGTTTATAATTTGAAAATGATTATGGGGGTGCACAAAAATTGATATAAATGTAGGAGTAATTTCATGGGATAGATGTAAGGACTGACATATTAGAGATCTGAAAAGCGTTCATATAAAAAATTGTTGAAGGGGTTTGGTCTGGAGACAGAAGTACTTGAAGGAATATCTGGATGCTTTAAGAGATGATGGAAGGAAGGAAATTCAGCAAATAGGGTGAGGATTTCAAAGACTGCACCTAATAATTTACATAAACCTAGGTACTAGAATAATTCTGCCTCTTTGTTTCAGTGTGAAAATATAATAGAAGAAAGAAAAAGAGGGGTGTTAGAGTAAATATTGAAAATATTGCTTAACAGTAGCTTTGTATACAAAAACAAAAATCAAAACATCTTTATTAAAATTTTATTGAAAAGAAACAAACCCAAATTAACAAAACCTAACCATAAACATTGACTTACGTGGTTTGCAAACTGCAACAACATTCTGTAAGAGTGAAAAAATGACTTGTTGCCAAAGTGAGCAATTCCAAATTGAACTGCCCGCAGGGATCCATTGCCATCTAACTTTCTATTCTTGATTAATTTCACATAAAGTGTTTTTAACTGGTTTTTCTTTATGTGTTAAAAGTATGAAAGATTAGCTGGAAATGTGAGGAGAGTTCTGCTGAAAAGAGATCTTTAGCCTTTTTTCACTCTTGAGAAGAAAGAATCTTAGGGGGAAAAGCTGGTCTTAAAATATACTACTTATCTACAAATGACATTTGAATACTTTAGTAGGCTTGATTTATGCTCCATAGTAACTACAAATAAATAGTTTAAATTCTAACTGATGAATAAAAATGAGGGAGAAAATCCTAAAGTATATTTTTAATTTTTATATCTTTGCCTCTTTTTCATCATAAGCAGGTTTTTAGCCAAGTATTGAGTGAATTTCTCTAGCAAAATAGTTCAGTTTCTTTAAGTTTTAAGAATATGCCCTGAGCACTACAATAGCTTTCTAACTGCATAAGAAAAAAACATAGAACTGCAATTATTTTCTCATATTATTTGCTTGTATAATTTGTATCCCCACAAACCACTGTTTCAGTGCATCCCAAGATAATTTTCACATGTTAAGTATCTGGTTTTATTTGTTTTTTCCCCTTTTCCATCTTTCCCCTAAAATGGATACTTACATTTGCTCAAGCTGTGGTTTTACTGAAACCCATCATCCTAACAGAGCATCTCTAGG